AAGGTACACTAAAACACTGAAAGAAATTGACTGACATAGATGTTAATATCAAAATAATACGATCGAGTAGGAGATGTGACTATTTTCTAGTAATATGAAAAGACACAAAAAAGATATTTTATTTTTTAGGAGCACGTCTGCTACATTAACCGATTACTACTTGCAGTATTTTACAAGAACTAATATTGGTCACACTTCATAAATAGATGTATATGTAGCTGGTTTTATCCAGTGCAGTTTTTAGGAGGTAAAAGACAAAGGTGTATTTAAGCATCTAGAACTAAATAGATTGTATTGTAGTGTTAGTTCACTGAACTATATTATTAGGAACTATTGAGAATACATAGATTATTTTTATTAGTTGGATATTAAAATAAGGGATGAAAATGATAAAGGTGAAATCTAATACAGCAACCGATTTTAGTCTTTAAGATTATTTTTAAGGGAACTATGTGACTAAAAGCTGTTGTGTGACTAAAAGCTATTGTGTGAGTGGTTTCATACGGTACTGGCTGTGGTTTTGCAGTTGGCATGACAGTGCTAAATCAGAGTAAGCTCTCGTCCTTTGAAGCTGTGTTCTCATGCTGAAACGCTCTGACAGACCGATGTTTCACAACACGTCAGGATCAAATTGTCTAAGTAAAGATGAAGTGTAGAAATGAAATAAGCAATGGTTATTTTTCGAAGGAAAATATAATTTCTGCAACAAAATACAATGCTGAGTGGGAATTTAAGCCAGGCAGGCTGTTTCTGCCTTTTTTTTTTTTTTTGACATACTGTTTACAAACTAATGGAGTTCATCATGAGAAAATAATCGCATCTGTTGTTGTTATGTGTATATTAGAAGAGCTTAAAATCTTTAAAAAGAACGGAAAGCCAACATACATTTCATGAAAAACAGAATCCTCTATTTTATAGTACTTTGCCAATTACCATTACATATTTGTGTTACTTTGTTATAAAAGAGCAGAGGAAGAGAATCATTCTTCCAAAGCAGACATTATAATAATCTACACAGTACCAAAATTGAAACCTGATTTGCCCTTCGTAAATTACTGACTGTTGTTTCATGACAAAATAAAGTGGTTTCTGCCAAGATGATCTCAACACGTACTGTTCAGTGAAGTGTAATACAGACAGAAGTATCATAAAAATTAGCTTAATCAAGGAATGACATTAATTTGGTAGTGAAGGATGCCCTTCCAGAAGGTGTACCAAAAACATACAATTCCGTTGTTATATTGGAAGTTGGATGTTGGAAGATTCGGGAATTTGGATAAATGTTAGTAGGTTTTCATAAATGCTAACAAAAAGGTAAAGCAGGAGACTACAGGACCACATGGAAACCTAGTTAAGCTTACTGGTATGATGACTTAAAACCCTTTGCTCCTTATGTTTCATCAAGATTATATTTTGCAATGCAGTGCAAAGTGTTTTCAGGTTTAGACTACTAGAAATGGTAGTATTCTGCTTAGGACTGAAGAACTACGTAGGGTCTAACATTAGAGTAGAGAAGCTTGGCCCTTTCTCTCAGGGTTTCCTGGAAACTACTGTGCACATACAGAAGAATTGGTCAGTAAAATCCTTTTATTTTATTTCTACTGTCAAATATTTATAACTAGCATAAAAGGAATATAAATAAAGGGCACTCTGTGTTCCAAGCTTTCGAAATCCTTTTTCCTAGCTATGCTTAATTGTGGTGGTATTCAAACTACTCTTTTAATAAGTTTCTCATAAAAGCTACCGCCCAAATAGGAGTATTAATGGCTCTGTGGATAGGATGAAGACAACAGTGCGGTGGGCCTGAAGCATTTCTTTGCATCAAGACAGAATTAAATCATGGTGAAAGAAGTTACAGCTGATCTAATTTTAACATAATGCAACTCTAGATTTTGTTGTGAGTTATGCTTTCTTGCTACTCAGTCTAGTCGTTTTGGTATGCAAGATGACCCATGTACATTGATTTTTTTTCATTTGGAAGTTAAGTTAAAGGAAAAAAAATCCATTGCACGGAAAGTTCAAATAATAATAAAAGGACTGCAAGTGTTATGTGCAACTGCTGTTGTAGTATTCCATAACTACACAAAATGACTGAAATCTGATACCTATACAAAACTTATCAGTAATTTATAGGTCATAAAATAGGGACAGAAATTAACATATGACTTCAAATTCAGAGCGAATTAGCAAATCAGAATTTCATTCTAGCAAAACAATATATGTGGTGGAGTCACTGTCCCTGGCAGTGTTCAAGAAACCTGTAGATGAGGCACTTGGGGACATGGTTTAGCAGGCAGGGTGGTGAAAGACTTATGTTTGGACTTGATGATCTTAAAGGTCTTTTCCAACCATAATGATTCAATGATTGTAATAGTATAGTACAGAATTGGGTTCTCGGAAGAAATAAAAAGTGGAAATCTGACATAGTTAGAATTTAATTTAACAAAAGACATGGGAAAATGGATGAAAGAGGTGAAAATTCGAATACTCCCTATTTAAGTTCATTTTTGGTGGGGAGTTGTTACGGTTATCAGAAAAATACTCTTTGCTGTCATTTTTGGTGGGGAGTTGTTACGGTTGTCAGAAAAATACTCTTCAGAAAACAGTTGTATGGGCAGGATTAGTTTGTTCAAACATGTAACAAGCATCAGCTCCTCCATGAAACTCCGAACTTTACTAAACTCAGTCAAATAGAAATAATAAGAATTTTGCTCTGTGACAATTGGCCAGAACTGATTTTTTTTCTGCTTTACTCAGCGTTATATGTTTCTCTGTTGTCTGTGCTTCAGCTTACTGGTCCATGTGTTACTGAGCAGTGTTGTTGAGTGCATTTCCGTGCTTCTGCCAGATGTATCCAATTGTGGGGACAGTGAAAAACAACAGCAAGTATCTGTAGACTAACTAAATCAGGATTTTATTTGAATAGGCCTTCAATGAACCATCTTGATCTGCAAAGCTGAATTAGGATACAACTTTAAATGTTGTTGAGGTTAACAGACTCTAGGATTTTACCCTAGAACAACTGCAGTTCAGTTCATGGAATGATTATCTAGGTTACATTTTTTTAAGCTTTCATGGAAAGGAGAATTCTGAGTGATTGGCTCCTTTATGTTGAATTATAGCATAATTTCTTAGTTGTTTAATGCAAAGTAGAAGACTTAATTTGCTTGCAGTGAACTCTTCCATAGAATACCCATACTTAAAATGTTGCTTGAATGTTAGAACTATTGCTGTGCTATGAGTTGGGGTTCTTTTAGAGTTTGAATCGTACCATAATTACACATTTTATAAAGATCATATGCAGTGATTATTAAAAAGAATCAAAAGTCTTGAAATAACTATATGCAATATATTTTCAGATGGCTAAACCAGCCATCTCTAATTGCAATTTTGCAGGGAAAAACAATATCACAAGCACAATATGGTAATTTGTGAGCTAAGTAATATTAAGTGTGCCTAAACATACACGCAGGCACTAAAAGCTTTTCTATTTTTTAAAATCTAGCTGCTAAATGTAGAAATTTAATAACAATATAGTTATCTTTCAAAAAAAAATGTAATCAACACTTTGCTTGATAATGCACAAGATATGGAAGAATAAACAAAACTCAGATAAGGCAATATAGTAGAATGTAGATAAGTTTGGGAGATACACAATAAATTCTAACACTTTTTCTCCTGCTTTACAGTTTTAATAATTTAAATGTATAAACATTTAATAACTTAAATGAAGATAGTGCTTGCCTGATTTTCTTTTTTAAAGACGTCTTATTTGCTTCAGATTTAGGTGTAGGTACGGTGCATGGTTATTGAGACTGTAGTTCAGTGGGTAGCAATTTGAATGGATGGATGATGGGTTTGCCTAGAGGGGAGGGTGTAAATTAGAAGAGAAAACTTAAAAAGGCTGATGATTTCAGCTTTTGAGCTGATTTTGTTATTGGAAAACAGAGGGCTTTCACTACAGGAGTGAAGGGATGTATTCTCTAAAGTTCCCTATTTCACGTTATTTCTTCACTTAACTTTCACAAAATGAATTCTGCTTATGTGATTGTATCCCAGACTTTTCACTTGCATTTAACAAGTGTTATTTCTGCTGTCCTTTTTTTAACCCCATTACATTGATTTATCTTCAAAAATACCTGAGTCATATTTCTGTACTGGGAGGCCAAGTTCCTATGCAGTCTCTCTCTCTCTTTTTTTTTTTTTTTTTAAGAAAGTGGTAGTTATTCAATGCTCTAAACAATCAAATGACTAATATAATAATAAACATTCAAAATATTGTAGATGTCTGGTGCATATAAAACCGGATGTTGCGAATATCTGTGTAATTTGGTCATCATCCATTTGCATTATTTTTAAGTATGAAGAGTTTTGCTATTCAAAACATTGATACTGAAGGAAACTGAATCACAGATTGTGATGGAAATGCTTCTTCGTGTTTTGAAGAAACATCAAGAGCCTTCACAGCTGTTCTTTTCTGGAAAACAAACATGCTGTCTAGCAGCAAAGCAGCAAAGCAAAAGCAAAGCAGAAAAGTACTGGAATAAACAGACATTGTTCTGTCCCATGTTAAAACGTTGCTTGTGACAGAAGAAGAATCTAACAAGAAATGATAGAGAAGTCCTGCTACACTGTCACGATGCCCAGCTTGCATCTTGTGACTCAGGTTAGGGCATTGGGTGCCATGACTAATTGCAAACTCTTTTGTTGTCCATCCACCTTGTTCAGTGGATTTTTTTTTGTAAAATTCCCTTGCTTAAAATAGTTTTGGAAACTGTGAAATTATGAGAAGTTGCACATAAACCAAAAACATCTATTACGGAGAAAATACCTCTTTTATAACTTTAATACGCTCTCTGTTGTTGTAGTAGGAAAGCAGGTAAGCTTTTCTGCCACCATATTTAACTATTGTTTGTCCTACTCCATGTATTGCTTACTCTGTAAATAAGAGGAAAAAGAGCTCATCAAAGTTACAGCTGTTATTTTTTTCTTTTTTGCAGATTGCACAGAAGAAGCGTGGGGGTTTCCCATGTGTCAGTACTTGAAGGATGAGGGCTGGTGCTGTGGTCGCAATGCTAGAATGTCAGCATGCTTGGTATGATTCCCCTTTTTTCTACTGAGAGCTTTATCCAGACATTACAAAATTCATTGGATTTGGCCTCTAATTAAGCCATGATTAAATCCAAGAATCTACAGAATTAATATCATTAATATGATAAATTACAACTGAGAAATATAGTATTGACTTTCCGGCATTATATATTTTAAAGATGTTGAAGGCATGAGAAAATGAAAAAACAAGTATTGACAAAGTGTATTTTAAAAGTGAACAAAATGGCAAGCCTTTATGAGGGCCAATTCCTGGCAGCAAGATGCAGCATAGACTAAAAGTGTCAAAGTTATATAAGCTTCAGCTAGCATGATAATTGAACACTATCAGAAGAAAGTATGTCAGGGCAGTTACTCGGTATTTTGTAAGAGTTACGTGCATTTCCCTGAAAAAGGTACAAGAAAAACAGTTTTATCAAAAAAAAGTATTCTAAAATAGACTTGCCTTTTTTCTTTTTTTGTCAGTAGCCAGTTCTTGCTCACCAGACCTTGGTTATCTCCTTTTTCATTCTTTTCCTTTTTGAAAGGGACTTTCTACCTTTGTGGACTGTCATTCCACAAAGGTAGAAAGAGAAATTTTACCAGTAGATGACCACCAGTAGATGGTACTGATCATACCTTATGTGTCTATTTTAGATTTCTCAGAAATCATAGAAATTTTACAGTTAACTATATTCTTATTAATAAATCTTTATATATACATATGTATTCATTTCTCATGACTAGGATTTTCACCTTCTGCTCTGTAAGGGGAGGCAGCCCAGTGCAGCCAGGCACTATTCTTCCTACGGGGAAGGGCTGGCTAGGGGAAACCATCTCTGCTGAACAATGATGTTGATCACTGATATTCAGTGATATTCATCATTGCTGAATATCAATGATATTCATCATTACTACATATGTCTGTTCAAATTGTTCAACATGCTGAGGACCAGGGGGTCTAGATGAGGTATCAGACCCCTCCAGAACATATTAGAACCCATATCCACCTTCTAAGTAGCTGCAGATACGTGCTGCTCTGGTAGTTACAGTTTATACAGAGGTAAATCAAATCTGATAACTCATCTAAAGTCATGAACAGAGGCACTGCAACTGGACTGTTTCTGAAGAACAGTCTGAAATACAAGAGCAGTATTAGAACTAGGGGAAGGAAAAGGGGAAGGTGATTCAGAGACAAGCAGCCCTATTTACCTAATTTTATATTATCTCATTTGTTGTACTGCCAGGTAATTTGTTGAATGTTTATCATCATTTTTCCTATGATGTTTAATATTCAGTTGAAATTCCTATAGGTACAGGGTCTTAAAAATGTGGAGAAATCTTCCACTCTTCTAATATCTGTAATTTTTGTTCACTATGGACCATAAAAATCAAGTACTATCATACCCTTACGATACGAAGACTCCGTTGTGAAAGATAATGAACATCTTTTACCGGCAATTCCTCTTAAGTTTTTGTCTTACTTTATATAAGGAAGTTCAATTTATGTGTGTACTAGGGACTAAAAACATTTTAAGACATTATACATTGAGCTACTTTAAAATAGTTGAATAAACAAAATAAATTGCTTATATTTCTGTAGGAACAGATTCAAGAAAAATACATTGCTTCTTACACTTTTACAAAAAGTAATTGTCTTAAATTTTCTTAGAATGTTAAAAAAAGAAATAAGTTTTGCTTGCACCTATTGCAATTTGTCTCATTGTCATTGCTTCTCCTATAAATAAACCAAATTAACAGAAGTGAACTGATTATGAGTTCCTGACGGTGTTAACACTTAGAGCATGCAAGCTCACATTATTTCACTTTAATCTTTTAAAATGTCATACACTTTGACTGTTCTAGATCATTTTTATAGAATGTTCTGATAAAGAATAAATATATTAACAATTTAATTCCTTCACTCCCAAAGGCTTTGGAGCGAGTTGCAGTTGGCCAAATGGTAAGTAAAGTTGTTTATTTTAACCCTTCAAGATAAAATCTTTTTATTCCCTCTTTTTAGTGGTAATAACCCATGACCTTTTATTGAACTTGAGAAATTCTAGAATTTAAAGCAGTATTACAGGGTACATCAAATGTAATCATGTAATTGAACAACCTTAGTGTGAGTGATCTGCTTCTGTATATTCAGGTGATACTTATGTTCTACATTTTACATGGCAGCATATGGACCCCATGCTTTTCTTCGCTTCCCTCTGCCAGGCTTTTACCTTTGAATGTGTACTTTAGAGTTTGGGGTTTTTTTCTTCACAGTTATGGTTGCATTATAATGTGATCAAAAATGTGATTTTGGTGCAAGAATATTAGTAAATTCTCCTCTTTTTAAGGCTGTTATAACTGATTAGAGAGAATACAAGCCATTAATTAGCTAAGGAAGTCAATACTGTTTTTGTTATTGTGGTCCTAATTTCATTGTCAACTTTAAAACCTTTCTGTTGTATTTTTCTTTTTCTGGCAGTTGCCTACAGAGTCATTGTTTTATCGAGCTGTTCTTCAGGTTATTATAGAGGAAAATTATGGTGTCACCAAAAGGTAGGAAGCTGTGAATTCACAGGTACTAACCTAATCTGCTGCTTTGTCATCTCTACTCTGAAATTACTTCTTAAAAAAAGGTGTCCAAATCAGTGTTATTAGCTATTCAATAATGTATGGTTACTGAAGCACAGTATGCTTTTGTTCATTCTGAATCCACACGACAAACCTCTTTTCTTTCCTCTAGCCAAGAATTGAAATAGGTCTTCCTTGGTACTGGATGCATGGAGAAATGTATGTTCCCCAGAAAGCCAATAGAACATTCACTAAAAAGCACTAAAAAGCAGTCCCTGGGCTACCCCGTTTTGCAGATGTCTGGGCAGCTTTTCATAGTACAGAAGGCAAAAAGGGCCACGCGCTGCCCGTGTCTGTGTTGGTAACTGCTGTGTGCTGGTGGGAATTGGAAGAGTGAAACATTCAGTGCTGAGGCCAGGCTGACAACCATTCTGTACTCTTCTGGAGGATTAGTTGGGTCAAAGGCCGAACTCCTGAGGGAAGAAATACTCCTTTTGTTTATTTGAAAATTACGTAGAAGATATAACATATGCAACCACCATTGGTAAGCTGTGTAAAACTTGAGACAGATGATAATGTGTTTTACTTGCTAAACGAAGTCTAATTTGGAAGAAGTGCTTAAGATTATACTTTGGAAATAAAAGCAGTGCAGGCCAATTGCGAGCCCTCTACCGTGGGGTGTCACCAGCTAAGGCTGAGCAGCAGTAGCAGCTGATTGCAGTTGAACAGCTTGATTGTTCTGAAGCTTTCTGAGATGGTTTTGTGCTTTTTAAGATGTCAAGAACCTGACTAACACGTTAGAAACAGATTAAAGCAATTAAGAGAATGAACTGTGAGACCTTGAATGTTTAAGAAGCCATTCTGTTTTTTAAACTGCTTGTATACAACATAAACCTGGTAAATCTAATCATATAATGAATGTAGTAAATGTATTTTACAGCTTTGATCCTGTTCCTTCTGATTTGTGGGGCAGGTGCATATCTTCCAAAGAAGGTTTTAACTGCATAATATTTTGTTGGTTTTCAGGCTGCATCAGCCTAAATGTTTAAAGTATTGGGACATTCAATCTGATTATGGAAAATCTTTTTTTCATTAAAAATATGGGTGATTGATAATTCTCAGTGGATGGGGATCCGCAGCAGTCCAGAAGCATTAGAAATGCGACTGAGGGAGGTCTGTGTGTTGACCTCAGTAGTTGTAAATTTTGATTCTCAAATAAGTGGAAAGAGTTTTTATTAAGAGGAGAAATTTTTAAAGGAAGATATTGCTATCTCTTGCTATTTCAAGGGAAATATGTTTTTCTTCTTAAGTAATTGGATTCCATACTCATGAGTGGCTTACGAAGCTGAAAACTTAACTCCTTCACTGCAAAGCTGCAAGAGGAGAATTAGGAGGAGGTCAAGAAAGTGAATTCAGACTATCAAACTTTGCATTTACTTTCTCCAATGTATTTTAAACACAGAGAAAAGATTAAATTAAGTAACCTGGTAGGATTACGTCTCCATATTTGTCTTTGAACATTTGTGCATTATTTTAACACTTTGCTCAAAATACCAACATTTTTGTCTGTCTAAAGTGGGCAGTTAAAAATTTTCACCTCACCTAATGAAATAACAAGTGTGTTATCCATGAGGGAGGATTAAAAAACAAGTTACCAAGTGATAGTGAAATTTTACTGCAACTTGGCAACTTGTTCAGAGTAAGTAAATTATTGTAAATATTATTATTTACAGATTAATTACATTACAAATGACTATAAATTATGTATAATTATAAAAGGATGATATTAAAAGTAAAGAATTATATAGGTACTGTGGAATTTGTATAAAAGTAGGCATCTCCCTGTTATATTTACAGTGATCGACATGTTGGAAAAATTTTCTCCAAGTCATCCTCCTTTTTAGACTATGTAAGAAAGTCTTTGAAAAAACTGGAACTAGATGATTCAAAGGTGAGTCAGTAAATCGAAAGTGCGTGTAAATTCTTGCAGCCATGTAAATTTTTAATAATGCCAGCACCAAAGTGCTGCTATGTATGTCTGAAGCATTGTGTTGTTTTAGTTTGTATATTGCTGCATAAATATCAAATACTTATATAAATAGAACCAATCCAATAGAACCAATTATATTTTTATGTATTAAACATTATCAAAACAAGATTGTTTAATTTGGTAGGAAATTGACTTCCACTTATCCTTAAAAGATACTGTTTTAAATTTACAGCACTCTAGTGACTTTATATAATATCAATCCATTTTTATGTTTCACGTTGGTGACTGGAATTTTTGAAAGAATTTCCCTTATCTGTGAAGCTAGTCCTACAAATCTCCTTTGAGGAAAAAAAAATCACCAGATGATACTCAGTTTTATGTATGCAGTCACTCAGAGTTAAGTACAGCATTTTTTTTTAAATGCAGAGTCAAGCGTGCATGAAATTCCTTGCCTGTGCTGATACGATACAACCTGATAAAAGTAACTTTTGCATCTTTTTAAATCCAGCTGAAGTGCTGTCCATTGCCAACATGTTTTTATATGTAAGCTTAAAGAAGTCTAAAAAAAAAAGATGAATAATTAATCACATAGTAAAAGCTTTGAGCCCTTTGTCTTTCCTTTTTTTTTTCTTTTTTTTTCTCTTTTTCTGAAGCAATATTTTCTTTATCTCTTGTTTGGAGGTCTTCTTGAATTTGATAAAAATAACAGTATAGTGAGATAGACAATTCCATCTATACCACGTGTTTCTCCTACAATTTTGTTCTGAAGTTATTTGCTTTTTATTTTCGGTTTTAGATAGTCTGCTTAGGTAGCCTTTTAAGACCTCTGGTGTTGCCTCTGTCCGAGAGGAGGCTGATACTGTTTGCTTTCAATTCATAAGTGTTAAGTATAAGTATTAGTATTTTAAAATAATTTCCTATATAAAGAAAATTTTAATACTAATCTGACATTTAAGCTCAAAAATTTCTGAGTGTCTTGTTTTGAGTACTGTAGTATTTTAGAGTACAACTGTTAAATTGGTCAACAGATGGCAACATAACATTAGGCATGGGATACGACTGTGTGAGTCCCCAAAACACAGCAGCTCTCAGCTCTTCTGAGAGAAATGTGGTAAAATGGAGATGCTGGAGAATATTATTTACAGGATTAAAAACCTTAGTACAAATGATACCAGAAGTAAGATTGGCAAGTATGCTAAATATTTAAGTTGAATATTATAGTGTTTGGTAAAGCAGTCCTTAAAGTCTGAAGTTGAAATGTCAAATCGTTAAAAATGCTCTAATCACATCAATGCATGAATTAGAAAAAATGTAAAACAAATAACTGCATAAATGCAAATGATACTTGGATTCATGCTGCATGCAGAAAAAAAAAAGTCTCGTGTTTCTGAATTTTCACTCTTTTGTTTTTAAGAGATTATATTTAATTTTATTTGCAAACTACATTATCTGTTTGCTTTTCTGTATAAACAGGGACTAACATCATGCAGTTACCCCAAATGAAAGTAGCTACTAAAATGGTATTGGCCTAACTTTTGTATGATCATCAAAAGACAGTAGGGGATGGTTTGCACAGTGATCAGTTCACTAGATTATTGATAAAACTCTGCAGGTAGGACTTCCAGCCATTGTACATAACTTTCCTCAAAGCCGAAGTGAGCACAGAAACTTGGTGTCAATGTGTGTGATTTTAGAAGTGCTGCCTTTTGCCAGAAAGGGCCTGGACAAGTGCAAATTGCCCTGAGGAAAACATGTCTGTCAACACTGACTGAAGCTGCACGTGTTTGTGGTGGAAGCTAAAGATCCGATTCAAGCTTATGCTAATTTATTTGCTTGTATTTCTGCTCATCTTCATGTACAGCTGGTTACATACTGAAGACTGAAGTGTATGCTGATCTAAGCAAGATTATTTTTCATTTCCCAGCTATATTCAAATCTTCAGCAATGTGAGAACAGTGGCGTTGTGCTAACTAGTCTGAGGAAACTTGTTCCTGCTCTCTCCACAGTGCTTCTGACATTGCAGTTTTCATGGTGGAGTCAGCACAACATCTACACAATATTGGAGAATGTGTTAAATTCCTTTATTCAGAAAATAAAAATTAAAAAACACTTGCGCAGCTAAAAATGTGGTGAAGCTTGAACAGTTGCTCTAAAAGACAACAAAAATCAAAGCGACATTTATGCAGAATTTGTTTTCTAGTTGTTTTTAAAAATGAACAAAAGAGCAGCTGCACTGCATAGACCAAATGTCTGCCCTGTCTCCAACAGTATCCAGAAGTGGGTGGCTAAGGAACTAGAGAGGGAGCATGTATGAATGATACAGAGTAACCAAAAACATGTCTGTCATTCAGAAAAATAAGGAGCTGCCCCTTGTCTTCATGCATAAAATCATTTTTAAAAAAGTACATCTTAGTAAAATTTTCCTGTTAATAGTTTCCGAAATATGGAGATAAAATATCCCCTACAGAAAACAGAAGATAAGGGCAAGCCAGGGGCACAGTCACAGAGAACTCATGAGAGTCTCTGTTTTATGAATAAAAAATTCTGATATTAAAAAGAAATGAGATGCCAGAAAACTGAGAGACATATAAAGCATTAATGCAAGTCTTCAGCTGTGCTTATCAGAAAATTGAAAGTGAGTTTAATCTCCACATGATAATAAACGTGTTGAAAAGTAAAGGGGTAATGACAGTAAGTTTTTCGGAAAGCAAGCAGCACCTCAGTGCTGCCAGCGCGTGGTCGCTGTAGTGCTCCAGTCCTCGATGGTTCTGATCACTGTGACTGCATCTAAACCATGGGACACAAACTTCCTTCCAAACTCCAGATTCGCAGTGAGCACAACAGCTGCTTCCTTTATACACAGCCGTGTCTCTGTTCCTGACCGAGGGGTAGCCGGGGCTCAATCCAAAAGTCTTCTAGTCTGGACAACTAAGAGGCAGGATGAAGAGTGAAACTGCATGCAGCACCTAACCTGCAGTGATGCTAATGTTTGTAAACTTGATGAGTTATAAATATCCCCCAAAGTAAGTTGATTTGTTTGGTAGTTTTCAGTAAAGAGGGATTGGTTAATCCTGCTGGCTCTTCATAGGAACAAGCCCCTCTTTCCTGTGCGAGGCCGGCGTGGAGAATGGAGCCTCTTTGCTTGTTTGAAATGAGAACCAGGCCTGCTGTGAAAAGATTGTTGAGATGGAGTAAGTTAGAACGAGGCAAAATAGCTTTTTCTACCAAGAAGAAAAGCATTTATCAATCACCTGAGCTATTCATTGTTTCACACTACTGTTCAAGGATTGAAATTTCCCATTATTTTAGCCAAAATGACTTCCTCCATCGTGTTTCTTTTCAATGTGCAAGAGCCTGTCAACTGCAGATTAAGCAGTGAGGTTTTTATTTCTCCTGCCGTTTTAGTTGACATCCATTCTTTTCATAGATTCCTCCACCTCAGAAGTAAAGCTGATTCATACACCATGACTACTGATGGCAAAATAGTCTCATTATAGGAGAGCAGAGAAGGCTTTTGCAGTGTAAGCTTGATGCTCCCTCGGTGTATTTATCCTGCTCCTAGCTTCAGAACAAATGGAATTAGTGTGTGGGCCATGGGTGCCAGCACAGGCTCCAGGATTCCTGTGGGTACACCCGGAGGCAGTGTTGTGCTCCATGTTGGTTACTTTGTCATTGCTTGTTGTGTCCTCAAACACTCCATGTTGCACGGGTGAAGCTTTCAGCGCTGCTTAGATATGGGAGAAGTTATTTCTGTTAGATTTCTTCTCACTGTCATTCACTGTTTTCCCTGAAAATGATCTCCTGCTTCAACATGTGTGTGAGACTCTGACCTTCGCAGAAGGCAGTGTTTGTGGCTGTTCTTTCTCCTAGAGTTGTCCGCTCTTACACCATTAACCTCTTTGAAACAGGCCTTGCTCCTTCCCCTTCCTGCAGCCCTTCAGCGGGGTGTCTCTCGGCTCTGTTTACTGCCCCTTGCAGAGCAATATAAAAGGAAGCCTTTCTAATAGTGCATTAGCTGCAGATTAAGACAGGCAGTGCTACAAGCGCAATTGCTGTGATAAGGTTTGCCACGGCAAAATGTTTAAAATCCTTTCCTGAATTAGTTTATACAAACTTTTAATGAATTTCTAGCATATTTTAAGAAAAAAGAATCTTTTGTTAAATGTAAAATAGAAATGTAAAATTTTGTGTCTTGAATCTAATGAGGCAAAACAGCAAAATTTCTTTTATAGGCTTTCCTCTAAGGTGAGTTAGGGAGGAAAGGACTCACAGGTTAAGGCATAGGTGTGTGGCTGACAGGATTGCTTGGGATCCTGTGGGGGGGATGTTTCTGTTAATAAGCAACATCCTTAGCGGGTGGAGCTTTTTAACAGATGCTGGCCGGAATTCATTAAAAGTACAGTCTAGAAATAAGGATAGAAGGCTGTTTAATGCCACATCTGATTGCAAGATATAAAGGGCTGGAGACACTTCTGACATCCGCAAAGAGAAGCTATTAGTCACTTTGATTTCATCTCCTGCTATACACTCTGTGGTTACCTTGATGGGTTAATGACAAAGAAGGTAGTTACTTAGTCAAAGTAACTTCACAAATCACTTAACCTCTTCAGAGGTAGGTGTATGCTGGGGAGATACACAAGCAGTTTCAGAGATGGGGTCACCTTAAGCTTTCACATGCAATTAGAATTTCACGTGCCAGGCAGTGAATGCATCTTTGCAGATTCTTTGGTTTTGGTTAACTCAGCTTCTCTTCAAGTCTCCTGTGAACATTATTTTTCATTTCTGAAAGTCAAGTGTTTGCATAAAACCTGAAAGGGCTGGAGTCTTCCCGTTGAAAAAAAAAAGTCATTTGTTTGGCTGGTGCCCCATATAACAACCCAAGATAAGATCTGCAACAATAAACAGATGGTCACTGCTGAGTTTCCACAATCCTTGTTTCCTCTAACCTTGACCAGACTACTTAAAAACAGCTGCTGCCCATTTGTTTTCCTCTGATCCTGTGCTTTAGGTGGAGCATCCCACACAGATTTACAGCTATGAGGTCTAAACCAGTGGATCAGGAAAGGGCACGAGACATTTCAGTGAGATGTACCTATCGCAACAGCACTTAAATTAATAACACTGTAAGGGACATATATAGAAAACTCATGTCCTGTAGCAAGCTCATGTATCATCTTGAGTAATTTAAACAGCTTTGGTATCTGATATATTATGTCTAACAATATTACTCCAAGAAGGATTCTGAAGCCTTGATTTAGCTGTCTGTCTGAATTTAGTTATTCTATATATTTTGCAAAGGTTATGTATTTATAAGCATGTTCAGTTAAACAAATGTGTTATTACTTTCTTTCTCTACAATAACCGTTCTGGTGTATGTTTTTATACATATTGTTTATAATTACATGTACATTTTGGCTTATATTTTACAGGATTTTCTGAAATGATTCATTAATAAACTAATTCCTAAATAGTAAAACTGGTAAATAATACTGAAATCAGAATTTGTGTAAAATATACCTATTACGGTATTTGGTATGGTTATACATGTCAGGCAAAATTCTGTAATTTTTTTTCTGATGTCTTTGGACAATTTCAGGATAGCTAATGTGTATATCTGATACGTTTCACATGCAGTAGAGACTTTCTTTAAAGCAGTGATTCTTTTTAAGAAAACTTACAAAGAGCATATACGACTTAATTTTAATGAAGCAAAAAGATAATAGTAACAGCACACGTTTAAAGCCTGAAGATCAAATAGCTGAGTCAAGTGATCTCTCAGTGCTATTATTATTAACTAAACAAATCAATCATGTTTTTATAAAATAGCAATAAAACAACTGTTAAGGATATGTTAATTTTAAAAGAATAAGTATTTTTGCACTTGGAGCATAAATGTGCATGTGTATTCCAACTAATAATTTATCACAATTTTTGAACTGCAATTTTTATATATGCATTTCCTTTTCATAATTACTCAGATGGCAGATTGAACATGGATTGAAGAGATGCCATTTCATATTTTAAGATGAGCCAGGTATTCATGTTAGCTAAATCTATATTTAATATATTGGGCTCTGTCCTGAATAATTTTTTCAGCAGACATAGCTTATGCTTATGCTGCTTGGATTTATTTATATGAAAATAGTGCTCTTTTTAAAATTAATACAAAAATAGTTCCAATTCACTGTGTTCAGATTGCTATAGTATTAGATGGAAGCACTTAAACACTGCACTGCCAAAAATTAAAACATGGGACTTGAGGGACTCCTGAGCGAATTGCATGTCCTGATCACATTACTGTTCTGCAAAAAAGGCCATGCTGTAACTGTATCTTGCAGATAGCTTCACTGTGAGTGGCTAGAAAAGGGTTTGGAAGCTCCTTATGAACATTCTTGGAATTCATCTATAAGATCCTATATTCCCCCCTTTGCAACAAAAAAAGGGGGGATTATCTGACACGGCTGTTGTGGTCTTTCTGAGGAACATGCTGGTGGAGGCTCTGTCCCTCCGTAGCGGCTCTCCGTCCATCCTCGTGCCATGAGCTCATTCTCTAACTGTGGTCTGTGCAGGTGAAGGTGAGTGGTCCTTGGGGATCTCGCCTCCCACTTCCACTGTCCATGCTACCCACGCAACTATCGTTGAGATTTATCACGTGTCTTTCTTGGGTTGGCCTTACAGCAGCTGCAGCTCTTTGGGTATAAAGATGAACAGGGAAGATGAGCTGGATTTCTATAGGTTTCTGGTGTGGAGGTGCATTTAGTAAAGAAGTTAATCCAGATGTTCTAGTGATTTCTGTAAGGCATTTGGGCACAGTACTTGAGTGTGGCAGCATTCAGGAGGCATTTTTGGACCTTACTTTTTATTTGTCAGACATTTCACAGTTTCTTTTGTTTTGAATGAATGCCTCATGTGAAAAAAGGAGAACACAAAGGATGCAGAAGCAGAAAGGTTTTATGCTCATAATTGCACAGATAAGAGATCTTTATAATTCCAAATAACCTGTAATATCAAAACTCCATTGTACTAAAACCCTTTTAATTCTTAGTGGAGATGGAGAGCTCATAAGGCAGAGATCAAATGAAGTATTTTCTTGTCTCATGATTAATATATTTTAATTGGTTTGGCTTTTTAAAGAGGAAGGAAAAAAAAAGACCTCAGATATTTGCACAGCTTTAATGAAAATAAAACTGCAACAGGATCAAATGTGCCATGTC